TGTGTAATTATCAATCTGGCTTATATTCTCAACAATTATGTGAATGTAAAACGCGATGAAACAGAAAAATCCGAGACAAATTTCGAAGTTGAAGTCTTCGATTTTGATTTTCTACCGTCAAATTTCCAATTCTAAACATCATGCAGGAACACGTTTTGCAGTGGTCCATCAGATACGGCAACTATTTGTCTTATACTGGCTGACCCATAATATTGTGTCGTCAACCATTATTACTGCCCAATATCCATTACTAAACCGTGTAAGCTTTTCCTAAATCTCAAATTTTGGGGCCCGTTTATTATAACTTTTGATAAGTTAAAATGAGTTTCTGATGTTTAAAAGTTATTTTTGAACTCATTTGATTAATTTTACAAGAAGTATTTCTTCTAATTAGAATGATATTTAGAGGAAGTTGACCAAATGTGATTTCATCTAAAATTTTTGAAAGAAATTTAGTTTTTGAACATTAATTAAGTTAATTTTCTTAAGAAGCTTGTCTATAATAAGTAAAAGTAAAAGTTGAAGTCCTGCCAGATGAACCATTAGTAGATTTTGATAAAAGTTGATTAAATGTTTAGTTGAAATTTGATAAAAGTATTGATTCTATGAAAATTGCGGTTAAATTAAAATGTTAATTTTGACTTGAATTTTTAAATATATATTTAACATGGGTTAAATTATATGTTACAAAAATATGATTTCAACTAAATTTCCCATTTTTACACTGTAAAAGTCAAAAAGGGTTTCAAACAGAACAAAAATCTAAAATATATACTATTAGTAAGATGAAATTCGTTAAGTTCCCAATTATACGTTTATGTCGGGATGACAATTGACAATTTTAGGAGAAAATGAAAAGCATGTATTCACATATGAAGTCATCTCAGTACCTGGAAAGTTCAAACAAAAGGATGAGAAATTTGACAAATCAATAATTCAATATACCCACTTATTTTGCTTTATATAGAAGAGCATTAAAGAATCTTAAGACATCGCCTTTCTTCCTTAAAAAATCTTTATCCTGTAGTTAAAACTTTTGCAGTAATTTACCTCTGCTAGTAAAGAAAAGATGGAGAAGAGGGTTTTTCTTTTTGCAGTTACTTTGGTATCAGTTCTTCAGAATCTGCAATTTCCAGTGGCTAATGCTCAAACTAAAGGAAGAATAGTAACAGTTTTGAGTATTGATGGAGGTGGCATTAGAGGAATTATTCCTGGCACTTTTCTTGCCTTCCTTGAAGCCAAACTTCAGGTATTTTTTAGTGCACGTTTGGTACCCAATATTAACTGAAATATTATTGCTGTCCTCCTCAGTATATATACCATTGTGATTTTCCAGGAATTAGATGGACCTAATGCAAGAATTGCAGATTATTTTGATGTAGTAGCAGGAACAAGCACAGGGGGTTTAATTGCTACTATGCTCACAGCTCCTGGTGAAGATAATCGCCCCTTATATGCTGCGAAAAACATTACCAGCTTCTACTTGGAGCATGGCCCCAAGATCTTCCCCGAGAGAAGGTAAATTAATTTTGTCGAGATTTGCTTAATTTGCTCGATTATTATTGATTAAGTGCTGATCCTTTTTTTTTTTTTTTTTTTTTTTTTTTTTTTTTTTTGGGGAAAAA